AAGCTCAGTTATAATGATAAATTTATATGATAAATAGTGATTTTTTTGTAATGGAAATTGTTAATTACATAATAATTTTTGTTAATTACATAGTGGTTTTTGTTAATTGATAAGTTTATAGTGAATTTTTGTAAATGGAATCCGTTAATTACATAGTGATTTTCATTACATAGTGGTTTTCATTAATTACAGAGTGATTTTTATTAATTACAGAGTGGTTTTCGTTAATCGATAAATTTTTAGTGAATTTTTGTAATGGAACTTGTTAATTATGTAGTGATTTTCGTTAATTACAGAGTGGTTTTCATTAATTATAGAGTGGTTTTTGTTAATTGATAAGTTTTTAGTGAATTTTTGTAATGGAGTTTGCTAACTACATAGTAATTTTCGTTAATTTACATAGTGATTTTCATTAATTATAAAGTGGTTTTTATTAATTACATAGAGGTTTTTGATAAATTCGTAATGAATTTTCGTAAAAAAAACTATAATCACATAGTGGACAATTTTTTTTTTTAAATTTAACTTAATGTGAAAAGAAAACAAAAAAAAAAACGCCAATTAATTAATGGAATGAGAAAGAGGCGTGATATGGGAGAGAATAGGGGGTGTGGGGGAGAAAATAGAGGGATTTGCATACCTACCAAATAAAATAATGGATTTTTCAAAATAATATAATATGATAATTTTCAATAATATTAAATAGGGGCATTTTGGATAATTCGAGTCAATTGGATTTATAACAAATATCAATAAAAAAAGTTGGATTTATCAAGAAGTCAAAATTGAATAAGGGGTGTTTGTCATATAACCCCTAAATTAAAAACAGTAGAGATTGGTCATTGGATCAAACAATTATTAAATCAAATTTTTTTTATTGTGATTTAAATTTTGATGAGTTATTAATATTATATAAATAAAATAATACTTTATGTTTTTATTTAGTATACTAACTTATTCTTTTTTTTTTTTTTGAAACCGTATACTTAATTACTTATTCATATTCTATACATCCAGAATTACACTACTTTTCTAGAGCCAAATTCGAAAAAAATGTTGTGGTATAAATCTTTAAAATATAAAATTTAAAGACTATACATAGGTGGTGTTTGTAAATGCTTTTTGAAAGTGATTATGCGGTTTTTTTTGCTCATAATCTGTTTTTAGGTGTTTGCAAAATTAACTTTTGCTTTTACTTCTCTTAAAATAATCTGCTTTAAGCTATTTTTTTAAAAGCCCATAACCCTGCTTTTTCAATTTTAGTTCATTTTCCGAAATATTTGCAAACACCCCTAACTTTTAGAAATAAGCACTTAAAACTAACTTAAATCACAATCACTAACTTCTGCTTTTAAATAAAATAATCATTTGCAAACACAACCTTAATGAGAAGGAGAATTGATTAAAAATTTAAAAGTCTGAGTAGGAGAAATGAATTGGGTCATTGGGTGGCTCCTTGGTCTCTAAACACCATCATTTATTTATTAGATTACATTAAATGTGCATGAGACTATACGCATAGAGATAAAATGCATAAATTCATATTGAAGAGTCAAATTATAATTTAAGGGGCAGATTAGTAAATTGATATTTTTCTGGATGACTAGAGTCTGGCCAACCATTATTACCGATAATTTTTTTATAATCAACTATAATTTCTTCATCCGTTGACCATATTATTATCTAGAATAAACTGCAAAAAGTACCCCTATGTTATCTCTAAATAGCGAAAACCCTCCTATGATAAATAAACTAGCAAAATCCTCCATGTGAAATTATTTAAATAGCACACTCGGCCCATTTATCTTTTGAGTGTTGACTTCATATAAAAAGACACAAAACCCCCGGGATTTTACAATTAATAAATTCTTATATTTTTTAAATATTTTAATTATTTTATTTTTGTTATATCTTAATTATAAAGGTACAATGGGGTCTTTAATTTATTTTTGTTTTTATTATCACATAGTTTTTGTATATATTTTAAATTATCGCTACATCAAAAGAAATTTTAAATTCCGTTATTATATATTTAAAAAAATCTATACTTAATTTGATTAACAATTTTTTAATAATTTTTAAATTTAATTATTTACTATTTTTTAACAATATTTTAATTTCTAAACAATCAAATTAAAAGGAAAATATATATACATATAAATACATTTGTAGGGATAATTTCGTCATTTCACGTCAAAAAACCTACTACCAGTCGCGCAACCCGCGAGTGAGCCACACTTACGTCAACCGGGGGGGGGGGGGGGGGGGGGGGGGTGGCCTTGGCCTTTTTTCCCCCGGGGGGGTTT